CCACATTGGTTGAGGAGTATGGGAACCAAGGGCTCATAAGTCTGCTAGGTCTTCCTTACCCTTAGAGGCGCTTTTTGGAGCTCACATGCTCCGAAAAGGACAAAACCGTGCGAGTACGCCCATCGCCCAAAGTGGACAATTCCTCGCAAGCCTACGGGCCGCACCAATGGTCAGCCAACCAAATTGTCCCTTATCAGATTGGCACTAGAAGGAGGGCTCAAGGCCTGCACCTCGGTCGAGCAAACTCGCTTCCGAGCCGTGCACCTTGGCTATGACCCCTTAGCTCTCTTACAGGAGGGAGCACTGATAAGGCCATTTAGTCCCACATTGGTTGAGGAGTATGGGAACCAAGGGCTCATAAGTCCGACAGGTCTTCCTTACCCTCAAAGGCACCTTTTGCAGCTCACATGCTCCGAAAAGGACAAAACCGTGCGGGTACGCCCATCACCCAAAGCGGATAATTCCTCGCGAGCTTACGGGCCGCACCAATGGTCGGCCGACCAAATTGTCCCTTATCATATTGGCGCTAAAAGGAGGGCCCAAAGCCTATACCTTGGCCGATCAAACTCAATCCTGAGTTGTATACCTTGGCTCTGAGCCCTTAGCTCCCCTACGGGAGGGAGCACTAATAAGGCCATTTAGTCTCACATTGGTTGAGGGGTATGGGAACTGATATTTTTTCTTTTATTATTGTGTGGCATAATTTTCATCTTGGATAGTGAGCTTTGAAAAAATGTAGGATCTTTGATTGTATGCCTTAAGCATCTACTATCTTTTACTCTAGCTTTTGTTTACAGACATATGTACAAGAAAGAGTGTTGGTTTAGGTATCTATTTAACTTTTGGTCTTTCATGTTTAGCATTATCTTTGCTTCCTTTTAGGTTTAAATTATTTATGGTTCTTTTTTAATACCCAAATTAATTTATAATGGTCATTCTTACTAAGGGAGCATGTGTAAGCATGATGGTCAATTTTTTTACAAAAATTATATTTAATTTTAGATTTATGGTCATGCAATGTGAGTCCTTTGACAAATTTGGTTGGCTTAGCTTACGATGAATGTTACTCTTTGTAGTACTAATATCTTAGAAAATATATAACCTTCTTTAGCAAGAATAATATCAAGAAACTTATTTTTTACTTTAAATTTTTCTAAGATATGTCATAAAAGCATGTTTTCCTTTTTTAGTGATTCTATTACATCATCACTATCAAGTGAAGTCTTTCAAGTAATTTTATAGTTTTTTATTTATTCTTTTTTTGTATTTTTCAAACATACAAGATGGTGACATACATTTCTTCTGAGCATTTTTCAATGTATCAAACTCATTAGTGTTCATTTCCAATGAATTATATTTTTGACCAATCTTTTTAAGTCCATCATGTAATTCATAGAATGTTTAAGTAATTCTTATGTGATAAAGATGTTTCAAGAGAGTTAAATATCTCATTGTTGAAAGCAAGGTTCGTAATACCGTATCGTACCGGTATTTCGATCTGGGCTCGGTACCAGTACGGTACGGTATACCGAGCGGTACACCCAGGTGTACCGCTAGTTGTACCGAGCACTGTAGCATTGCTACAGTACTACAGTAACTGCTACAGTACTCGGACCGGTATGTACCGCCCGGTACGGGCGGTACGGCTCGGTACGGCAAAACCTGGTTGAAAGTCATATGGGCATAATTTGCCACTACTTCAGTGGCTTGCTCTTTCATCTTCGATTCACTTAATTCATCCTATGTTACTTTAAAAACTTTCTTTTTTTAGGGATGATGACTTCTTTAGTTGTGGACACTCATTCTTGGAGTATCCTTGCTTCTTGCACTTGTAGCATATGATTACATATTTCTTAGGCTCGGTTTTAGTCTTACAATCCTTGTTTGATTTATCTTTTGTTTTCTTCATAAACTTCTTGAATCTTTTTGTGAGAAGTATGATGTCTTTATCATCATCACTCGAGCTTTTACTTGAGTCACCTTATTTGGATTTTAGATAATCTTAATTGGTCTTACCATCCTTTCTTGTTTGATTTGTCTTGTTTTCTTTATAAACTTCTTGAATCTTTTTGTGAGAAGTGTGATGTCTTTATCGTCATCATTCGAGCTTTTACTTGAGTCACCGTTTTTGGATTTTAGATAATCTTCTTTGGATTTTGGGTAATGTCCATTTTCTTGGTAGGTTTTCTTTTTCATCGTGAACTTTCAAGTTATTTCGTAGATCATGAGATATCATATGAGTTCTTTAAGAGGAACATTATTCAAATCTTTACTTTCTAGGATTGTTTTTACCTTTGGATCTTAACTCTTAGGAAAAGACATTAAAATCTTACTCACCAATTCATGGTTTATATATCTTTTGCTAAGTGCTTTCAATTTATTGATAATAATTGTAAAGCAGGTGTACATGTCACTAATAGATTCACTTGGATTCATTTTAAATTATTTATAATTATGAATTAAAAGATTAATCTTAGATTCTTTTACTTTATTTATTCTTTCATTTTTGATTTAAAGTGTCAAATATTAATATCACAAGTAGAAACTCGATTAAATCTATTCTTTTCTAAACATAAAATAAAACATTTATAGTTTTAGCATTTAAAGAAAATATTTATTTTCCAAAGTCATTTCATTCATCCATTGGTTTAGTGATTTTTGAAAATCAAGTTTGAAAACATTTAATAAATCATAATCCATTTAAGTAAGAAAATCCTCATTTTAGTTTTTCAATATGTAATTCGTCTCATAAACATAGATGGTTATGTGATGGAGTCTAGTTTTTCAATATGTAATTCGTCTCATAAACATAGATGGTTATGTGATGGAGTCACATCTTAATTGTTTGAGAATGTCATTGTTTCTTTCTTGGGTGTTAATCTTCAATTGTTAGGATCTTAATGACATTAAAAGGGGTGAATTAGCACTTATATAAATTTAAAATTGTCTTCGAATTTCAATCGAGAAAACATGTATCAGAAACAAAATTAGCTTAGTATTTAAGCACAAGTGAGAAATATACATGATATTGAAGTATGCAATCATGGAGGCACAAGTAAGAGATAGAATGACACATTGATTTATAGCGGAATGGTCTTCACGACCTATGTCCACACCCAATTTTTTAATCCTCAAGGTCATCAGCTTCCACTAACAATATTTTTTTTAAAGGATGAATATTAGCTATGTTTTACAACCTTCTCGTTTTTTAGGCTTTAGGAGAGAACCACACTCAATTCTGTTACAAAGAACTCTCACTTCCCACCACTTAGAATCATAACTCAACTCAAGAAGGTGGAGGAGACTGAAACAAGACTCAAAGAGAGAGCTTCAACACTTGCCAACTCAAGGAATGAATGCTCTATCAGTCAACCTGAGTATTTATAGCTCCTAAAAGCCCTAAAAAGTGGAACCAAAAAGTTTAAATTCTCGTGATTTCAGGGTATGGTCGGTACTAACAATGACTTCGAGCGGTACTACCATCACAACTTTTGGCATGCCACAAAAGTCGACACTGGATGGTACCACCATTGTAGGTAGGACTACCACCATAATATTTAACAAAGCACCAACAATTCTTGTCGGTTGACTCAAGCAGTACTATCTCTTGTGTTGGTGGTACTATGACTCTTGGGCAGTGTACGGTTGTGTGTTTGACCTAGTAAGGGCTCAAGTCTAACCAAACTTCAAGCTCAATGCTTGCTTCAATGGATGGGCTCCAAACCAACCGAATACCAGCCTTATTTGTCCCAACATGACTTTGATCAAGTCTTCTAATCATTAATGGCTTATCTGACACATTGTTGAAGCTTCTAGCATGTTGTCGCAACTTTCAACATATTTTCACAACTTCTAGTATGTCATCAAATCTTTCGGCACATTACTGAAACTTCCGGCACATCATCTTATCCTCCGACATAATGTTCAATTTCTGACACCTCTGGCATGATGTCCAATTTTCGTCACATTGATCAATCATCAGGCTCAACGTTTCATTCCTTGCCTCGATGATCTTTTGGCATGATGATCGATTCTCTGATTGGACATTCCATCTTTCAATGGGCTGAATCCTTAGTCGAAGTATTTCTTACTTGTCTCAATAATGCATTAGTTCATCAAATTCATCAATTAATTTCATCATCAAAGTGATTTCATCACCAAAAGATTCAACAACCTCGTTGTTATCAGCCCATCATCAAAGGATTCAATAAGGTTCTCAATTTTGATGCGTATCGCCTGGTATGGGCAGTACATACCGGTCCGAGAGGATATCGGTATGCGAACCGCCCTTTACTGAGCGGTACTAGTGTTTTGACCGGTACCGAGGTGTACTGATTAGTACTGAGGCGTACCGACTGATACTACCCCGGATTTTGACTGTTACTGAGGTGGTGTGGTAGGTAGAGGTATTTTTAAGGTTTTAGGATGTACCATCGGTACGCCAAGGTATACCGATGGTACATCCCGATACGTATCGTACCGAGCTCTACGGACCGGTATTCAAAACCTTGGGATTCAACACCCTCGTTGTTATCAGCCCAACTGTCACCTTTATTCTCTCTTTCCTCCTATGCGTCTTCTTTCTCCGCTTGTCCTATGAATCCATAATTATTAGATTCTTATTAAAATTAAATCCCATTGGTCCTCAAATTATGGATTCAAACATAGCCTCAAGTCAATTTTATATGATTTTTGGATAATTTGTTAAATTTCTTCATTTAGTCAATTATTTTCAGTGAAAAAACAACTATGTTTGGTATATAGGTACATGATTGATGACAATGCTTCTTGTGGAGTTCAAAATTCGAAAGCTGAGTATTTTATATATGTTTTGGTGAAAAAACAAAATCTTTGATGGTTTCTATGCTGCATAAATACCTTGCTGCATGGTTTAAATTTAAACTACATGGATTATGTTAATCTCCTTCAAATTGGCTGATTGCATTTGTCTTGCTGAAGTTTTCTTTTTGTTATTAAATAAAACATTTTAAAAAATTCAGTATTTAAAATGTAGATAACAGATGCTTTTGGTAAGGAAGATATCTTAGTTCCTAGTGAAATTTTTGTGTTAATGCAGGAAAATCTTGAAAAGTTTGACACTTGCATATGGTCAAATGATATTAAAGAATGGCTTTTTTCACGCAGATCCACATCCAGGAAACATACTTATCTGCAAGGGCTCAGAGGCAATTTGTTTATGATTTTGTATCTAACAGTTCTAAATTTCTTTCTTGTTCGCACTTGCAGTTGTGATTCATAACAAGGAAAATTTCCTTGCAAATATCTAAATTTCGAGGTTCGTTAAACTTATATATTCTTTTTTTCCTTTTTGTGTCAGGTTGCCTTACTTGATTACGGCCAAGTGAAGGATCTTCCGGACAGTTTGAGGCTTGGATATGCAAAACTTGTGCTTGCTATGGCTGATAGTGACCCTCTAATGGCTAAACTGAGTGTCGAGTATATAATTTCTCACCTTTTAGTTGGATAGTCTTACGCTATTCTAGGAAGGACCAACATGAATTTCTTTTTCTCTTCTTTTTCTGCTGATAATAGCTGATGGTCTAATCCCCACCTAAAAATTTACCTGGGTGAGGTCCTTGGGCCACCTTCACAAAGATTTACACCAAAGCCTCTTTAATTAAGAGGAAAACCAAGCAGTAGGTTAGGTTGGTGAAGGATCAATATATGTTATAAAGCGAGTTCTTATCTCTGTTCTAGTCAGAATATTGACCTATCAAGTTTTATAGACATGAAATGATATTATCTGGTTTTTCAACTTTGGCATATCATTTTTATCTTAACAAATGACAAAATTATGTAGGGAGCTTGGTATCAAAACCTTGAGCACACATGCAGATGGTGACCAGGAACTGTTGACGCTAGCACGAAAAATGTTTGACACTAAATTCTCTCCTGGAGTAACTATGATTTCACCATTTTCAGAAGACTCTTCTTTGAACAAAATCACTGTCCAGGTACACTATCCTTAGTAGTAGTATACGTGATGATCTTTCAGGCTTCATAATTTCCATGTTAAGTGCTTAATCTATTAATATCTCCTGTTGTGGATATAACATGATAATTAATTTTGTATTTATTCAGTAAACATCATTACTCATAAATGAATATTAGGGTTTCAAAAATTGGTCAGATCAATATGTACAGAAGGTTATTTACCTGTCCAACCACATACTGTTACTGGACCATATAGCTCGGTGTTGGTCACTTTTCATTTTTTTTTGCCTTTTCAGTGATACTGGATGATACAAGATAGTATAACACCCAGCATACAAGTATTTTCCCGGTCTAACAAAGTGTTGAAACTGATTTCAGACTGAAGTTTTAAACCTGATGCAGATAACACCATATTATTGATTTTTCATGATCCAAGAAGGTACAGGTCCTTGACATCATGTTACCAACTGTGTCAGTCATATGTTTGCATGTTTCAAACAATACTGCCTAGGCTTCACATGTGCGACTTAATAGAAAAAGCTTAGAACATGTGAGACTTCACATTCGAATGGAATATCCACACTAGGTGTCAAGGTCCGCCATACCGTACCGTACCGGAGTTTCGACCCGGGCTCGGTACGGTACAGTACGGGTGTACCGACCGGTATACCGAGGTGTACCGAGCGGTACACCCGATTTTACTGATTTATCCCTCCAAAATGCCTAAAAATTAGAAAAAAAAGTTAGGATAGGGTTTTCAAGTTACAAATAAATATAGTAATAGTATAAGTTTAGCAAAATCAATGTAAATTAGGTAAAAATAATATCACATATCTTTTTCAGGCTTTGAGGTAGTCTTGTTCGAGGTTTCGTATTTTAGCCCGTTATAGATTGAAATATCTACAGAAAAATCAGTTGAATTGTTAGACTATTTTGTTACAATATAAACTCTAAAATTCAAATGAAATAAATTATCACATATCTAGATATACCTGATTGTTGTTTTACCACCAAAACGAACGACGGGCTTCCACGGGTGGTGGATCGGGGTCCTCGATCCGATACATATCAATATGATACGTTTGTTGGACCAAATCATGAAATTGATCCCATGACATAGTGTATTGATATACTGTGTGCCATTGATGCATCAATGTAGTGCTGATCGTAGACTGATCGTCATGAATCATATTTGTCCGAGGCAGCTCTTGAGGCATATATTGGTGCTGTTCTGTATAATGTTGTTGCTCAGAGAAGGATGACCAACTATCACCATATTGTTGTTGCCCGTATGATTCTCCATAATACGATGAGCCTCTTTCTGTGTCTATATCATGTATGCTCTGTCGTATTTGTTCATATTCATCCACTGCCTTCCTCTTCCCCTTCCCCTTCCGCGCATAAGCTTGACCAGTACCTTGTCGAGTTCCATGATCTGAATCTTGAGTGGCATGTGTAAAATATTGCTCCTCAGTCCATTCACTACTCTCAAGTTGTGTAGACGAGACCAACGACTGCCCGGCATCACCGCCATCATCTGTCGAGGCACTGCTGTCCGTGTTGCTGTCATGTCTCTGGACCGAGCGAGAAAGAGAATGTGATTGTGAAGGTGTCTCGTTGTTCGACCCGATTCTGTCGAGGCACTGCACATCGCAATTTTAACATGCGGTTAAAATGGATATATACTAGTTTCTCTAACCGTCTGTAGGAGAGTTTGTTGCGGACCTTCGTATGAATCAATGCAAACGTTGACCAATTACGTTCGCAACCACTAGATGTTGTTGTCTGTGAAAGTACACGAACGGCAACCTTCCTTAAATGTGGTGCATCGCCTCCAAATTGTAGCCACCACTCGACTGCAAAAAGATATAAATAAGATTTTATTAGCATAACAAATAATTAACATTAAATATAATTGATAATCAATATGCATAACTTTTCCTTACCAGGATCCATAGTGTAACGACATGATACAGCTACAACGTTGGAGAATGAACCAACTGTTTCTCGAAATAATCGACCCTCCATAAGAGCATCGGTTGCCTCGGTAGTGTTTGGAAAGAGCCGATATATAACATTTTGTAATGTCGTTAGGAAATTATTTTGCGTTCCGAGAGCATATCGATATTGAATTGCCGGGTTTAGATAATACGCTGCAAAACATAATTTTGTTAGTATGATTTTTTATTATCTAAATAATAATAAATTAAATTATTCTGAATATGAATTTACCTGCATTATGGATATCTTGATCCATATGAACTTCAGTCCGACGATTAATGATTCGTACATATTGGTCGGCCTTAAAATCATCTTTGAATGCTTTCGTAACCTCCTCTCTTGCTGAAATCAGCATATATTTAAGATACGGCATCTGTGGACGCTTGTCCATATCGACCTTACGGAGGACAATATAAAGTGGTTCCACACCTTTAATGATTTCTGCTATAGTCTCCCAAAATCTAGAGGAAAGAATGGCTTTTTCTGTCTTCTTTCCATCGCTCAATTTCGAATATCTTGATTCAGACCACTCTTGTGAGCTAGCCATTGCCTTCAAGCTATGCCTTTTTTGCTGTAATGACTTTAATGCAATAAAATTGGTAGCAAACCGAGTAATTCCAGGTCGAAGTATCTCACCGTTTACATACTTTTGCATTAATGCGTGGACCCAATGATGATTATATATAAACTTTGTAATTGACTATGCTCGAGCTACGCAATTCTTGACCGAATTCAACTCACCAATATCCTTCAGCATTAGATCTATGCAATGAGCTGCACATGAAGTCTAAAACAAAGTTTTTCTTTTTTTCATCAATTGCAAATCGGCCTTTTTGAAATTCACTCCATTGTTGGTTATTATTTGGACAACATACTGTGGTCCAATCTCCTCTACCATGGTATCCATCAAGCTCTCAATGTATTTTGCATCTTGGATCTTTTCAGTAGCATTAACGAACTTATGAAATACCACTTTTCTATTGCAATAAACAAGAAAGTTGATGATACTCATTCTTGTTGGTCCTGTCGAACTGTCACACATCAATGTCACCCCATATTCGTCCCATTGCCTCTTGAAGGATTTGATCCAATCCTTTAGTTCTGCCACTTCCTCATCTAAGTACACGCCGTAAATCTCCTTCGGTGTTGGAGGTTGGATCCCCGTGCCAGACTTTTGAATAGAAGAGATCATGCTCTGATAATATGGACCTTGAGCTGTGTTGGCTGGAATCCTATTAAAGTTGAACCATTTTGAGATTGCCTTCCCAATATCCCGTTTTTTTTCTTTTGTGTATGCATCGTCAATCCGTGTCTGTTTCGCTGTTTGTGGGGGATAGGCTTACGGATCAATATCAACAATATCTGGTGCGGACCTCCTGCCAAGACCTCTCATAAAACCACGGAGTCCACCATACCTCATGCTACTAGTTCGGCCTAACTGAGAAGGAGCAGTTGGTTGCCTCATGCTGGTTGACCTCTGGATTCCACTACCACTGCCATGCTCCAATTGTGAGTCAGGTCGTCGATGCCTCATTGCTTCATCGACCGTATGCTGATGCTCCAATGATGCACGAATCCCAGCTGTGAGATCCGGGTTGACTTCATCGCCGCAACCCTCATACTGATCATAAATTGGTTCCTGTGTAGCCCTATGATATTCTTCCTCAACTCTTGCCTTCTTTTTTAATGTATCTTCCTTTGCTTGTTTAAGCTTGTTTTGAAATAATTTACGGATCTCCGTTGGAATATTCTTGCATTTTGCAACATCAGGATATCCACCAGCCAAATGCATTTTCACTCGAGTTATTCCTCCACCCTTGCCAATATAGTCACAATAAATACATTGCCAATGATGACGGTTTCCATCTAGCTTTCGGGCATGAACCCATGCATCATCATGTGACTGTTCCTTTGGTACCATGATCCTATCAAATTTAAATCAAATAAACTATAAAGTATAAACATATTAATTTGACCAAATATCGATCATAAATTACTAATCGCAACATTAAGTATTTTTATTAAATCATAACTAATCATATTTTATCATTATAAATATGTTACATGCATAAAAGAAGTATTAAAATAATTATATACACTAATTACGCGATTAATATAGTTAATTTTTCACTAATTACTTCTCTTTCAACACTATAAACATAACAAACACCCTAATAGGTATTAAAGATATTGGATTGACATAAAATCGAACAAATTTTGATTAAATCATCATTAAAATGACTATTCGCAGTATTTAATAACTTTAATAAAACATAATTAAACTTATTTTATTATAATATATATGTTAAACACATAAAAGAAATATTAAATATGTAATTTTAATTCAATATGATTCAAATTATGATAAAATCATCATTTATCCACACTAATTATACGATTAATATAGCTAATTTTTTATAAATTACTTCTCTTACACTACTATAAGCATGACAAATACCCTAATAGGTATTAAAGACATTGAATTGATATAAAATCGAACAAATTTCGATTAAATCATCATTAAAATGACTAATCGTAGCATTAAATAACTTTAATAAAACTTAATTAAACTTATTTTACTATCATAAATATTATTCATGATGAAACACACTAATCATAATCTTAAATATCTTAATTACTCTCTAATTAAAGAAAACGAATACATACCTCTTGATTAGAAAGTTCTTTCTCTTAATCTTCCCAAATTAGCCTCGATTGAATTCACAAATCGTTGTTTTATAGAGTTTAGGAGAGAAAAAGAAAGTTTGAGAGAGAGTTTAAGAGAGTATAATGAAATAGGGGAGAGAAGAATGGTTTAAATAGGAGGAGAAAAAGCTCCAACGGTCAAATTGACCGTTGGAACACTGTAGCACTGCTACAGTGCGGTAACGGTCGATTTCGACCGTTACCAAGTGGTGCCAGACGGTAACGGTCGAAATCGACCGTTACCGAGTGGTACCGGGCGGTACCGAGTGGTGCCGGACGGTAACGGTCGAAATTTCGACCGTTACCGCCCGATTTTGCCCCGTATCGCTTGATACGGGGGTTTTTGGGGCGTACCGCCCGGTAGCGGGTGGTCCGCGTACCGA